AGTCTAACCCACAGTCCTGTACATGGTGGCTAGTTTCCAAGAGAACAAAGTGGAAGCTGCCAGTCTTCTTAAGACCTAGGCCCCAAAGAGGCAGTGTCACTTCCTTTGCATTTTCTCAATCAAAGTAAGTCGCAGGGTCAGCCCTGATTGAGTTGGAGAGAAAATAGATCCTCCCTCTTAAGGGGAGGAGTGGCAAAGTCACATTGCAAAAGGGCATTTGTATGGGAGGGATTGTTGCAGCCCATCTTTGAAAATAATCTACCAGAGAGTAGAGTCTCTTTTCCAATAATTTGAATAGAATCCTGTGTGGATTATGCTTTGGCCCTGCTTGTCTCACATGCTCATTCTTGAATCAATCTCAGTATTGAGGGAAGAAAGAATGTGTTGACTGGCTGCTTCTGAGCTATGCATTCTCCCAGAATGGGTCATATGGACCAGAATGATGGAGGGGCAGTCCTCCTCAAAAAACCAGGGGCTGGTACCAGAAGAGGGGGGAATTGGGTATGAAACTGGTTAAAACTATTGCTATCCACTCCCGGAACCACTGCTCAGAAACCTTCAGTGCCTGTTCTGCTCTGTCGGGTTCCCTACAGTATGGACTCTCTCTATTCCTCCAGCCTCATTCACACCCCTCTCTCTTTTATCTGAGCTTCCCTTTCAAAGTTCTCCAGATACTTTCTTTTCCACTGTGCCTGTGCTTCTGTGGTCTCCCCAAATGGTCACCCATGCCTTGCCCGTGGGCATGTCCAAACTCTACCTGATTTTCTAGGAACGGCCTAAGTGCCTCTCCTCCATGAACCCTTTCCTAACAGCCAGGAGCGTGACATAAGGAAGACTGAAGAAAGGTAAAGGCCACCAGATGTGGAGGTAAAGATGCAAAAGATCTGAGGACTCCTTCATTCTTCCAGAAAATCTTCAAGCAAAATCAAAACCAATCACAGTGAACCTTCTAGGGTTACTTTGTTAATCATATTTCAAATTGGAGGTGTTTTGTTTTGTACAAAGAAGTTCACTGCAGCATTAATTGTAATGGCAAAAACTAGAGGCTTCCCAAATGTCCTGCACCAGGGAATGAATTGTAATCGTCAAGGTTCTTTCAGCAATAAGTGACAGAAACCCAGCTCAAACTGGCTTAAGCACAAAAGTGAATTCAGTGGCTTAGGAACCTGGACAGTCAAGGGACTCAAATGGTGTCAGGCCACCGCCATCTCTTGGCTTAGCTTCCTTTGGGTGTGGGGCTCATTCTCTCCCACTATTGACCAGTTTCCTCCATTGTGGGGGAAGAGAGGCCAAGACATAGATTGTCCCAGACTTACATTATTCCTCCTTTGTGACCTTGGAGGGAAGAGAAAGCTGCTCTGGCTCAGGGCAGCAGGAGGCTGTCATGGTTTGGGTGACTTGCTCATCCTGGGACCAGTGTCTGTGGCCAAAGCAATGGGATACTGTGACTGACCAAACCTGGCCAGGTGGCCAGGAGGAGGCTGTTGTGGTTGGCTGTCCCACTAGAACCCTATGGAGCAGGGTGGGGGGTGGAGAGTCTCCAAAAAGACTTGTACTGCTGTTACCAGGATGGCAAAATCTAGTTGAGGCAATATTACATTCCAGGAAATGGTATAGTTAGAAAGACCATGTAGCAACATGAAAAATGGTTATAAAGCAATGCTAAGAGAAGAAGGCAGAATACAGACTTGACACTATGGTGGCACCTTTGGAATATGAAAATATAGAAATCCTTTGCTTTGGGGGGGGGAGATTATCATTACATTAAAAACCTTCAGTACCTTTGCAGAAACAGTTGACCAATAAATAAAGTATGTTTGTGCAAAAATAATATGGCATATATCACATGATATGATTTTCAGAGCTCAGTTGTTTTGTAACAGGCACCTTTTTACTGCAGACATTTCAGGCACAGGCACATGGAAAAAGCTGTATTGCAGATTTTATACAGGGTGGTTTAAGAGGCATCAGGCATCTACCTCTCTCCCTAGCCCCCGCCCCCCAAATACACAGCAGCCCAGGAAATCAGTCCCACTGAAATCTCCTGAATATGCAGTCTTCTCAAACAGCACATCGCCCAGCCCTGTACCCAGGGCAGCCAGGCAACCTCTGGGGGTCTGAGGGAGTCCTTCTTTCCTATACAGGAGGGAAGGAGGTATATAGAAGGTCAGGTATAGCTGTGGCGCCCTCACCAATCCTAAAATCCTGAACAGGCCACAAGCCCAAGTCCTGGGTTTGGTTCTAGCCTCCAGCTGCTACTTTACCACCAGGTTTACATCACCAGGTCTCAGGGCTAAAGGGCTAGATTTGCCCTAGGCAAGGCCTCTGTCCCCCAAACTGAGGAGCATAAACTGTCCCAATAGCTAAGACTTCCTGGGATTTAAGACAAGTGAGTGCTGAGGGAGGAAACAGAAGGAGGCCTAAAGATGCCTTGCAGAAAGAGGTCTGAGCGGTGAGGAACCCAAAGCATGAGTCCCTCAAACTCAGATTGCCTTTAGAGGCTGGCTGTTCTGGGCACTTGTCTTTGAGCAATATCTGAAGCAAGATCTGAGCTGCCCTCTTCTTGGCTTGGGGTTTGTGGGCACCCTCGATGTGATCCTGACCTGGAGATAGAACAGGTCCCTGTCCCTCAAATCTCTCTGCTCATCCTTGGTCTTGCTAGGCCCTCGGTACCAGGATGGCAAATCCTAGTTGATGCAATAGAGGACCATACAGAGGGCCTGAACCTGATGGACCATTTATTCTCAAGGCCTCTCCATGTTCGGTAGGCTGGTGGTCCTGCGACATGCTGCCGTGCTGGAGTTTCTGGAAGGGAGGGCTAGACAACTTCTCCACGATGGCAACTTTCCCCTGGAACTGCTGTGCTTCTGACATAAGGCACGACACATAGATGCAAATTGTGCTAGTTGGGTTCAGTCCTTAACAAATAACTGGTAGCAATGTTGAATGAAGCTGGATCCAATCTGCTCCCAGTTGGCTTGTCTCTCACTCTGGAGCTCTACCCGGCCTCCCTCAACCCCAACAGTCTGCAGGCTGACCGAGGCCAGGCTCCTGGAGGAGCAGAAATGACCCTGATGTCCTCTCACCCACTGAGCACTAGCCTTCCCTGACCCGTAGGTCTTTGAGGGGCTGGCCCAATGGCAGCAGCAGCAATGGCAACCCAGGGAGGTCTACTGAGCTCAGTTTCTTTTTGGAATTGGATGAGGCATAGATAAATAGATGGCGGTTTGTATAGACTTGAAAAGTCATGGTTTTCATCTTTGTGGTTGCTTTGAGCAGTGGGCCCAACGGAAACTCTTTGTCGGGCGTGTTAGAACATTCTCAGTGTAGCTCCGGGGAGCTTCTGTTCCCCAAATCGTTCTGTCCTGACAGGTGAAAAGCCTTCAGGTGGGCCTATCTGTCCAGGACAGATAGGAGAAAATGAAATGAGCTCAGGCCCACCAGGTAAGACAGGTAAAGGTCCAAGGACAGCCCAACACATCCAACTCCTCTTCTGTGCACTTCCCCCCTCAGACCTGGGGTGGTTCATGCAGTCAGCACCAAGTGCCACTCATGTCTGCAGCTAAGAAACACCGCTTTTGGGTTAGTTATCTTTTTAAAAGATATTTCTGTAAGTAAGTAGCAAAACCGATATATTCCCATTTCAGTAAAAACAATAGAAAACATGATTTGTTTGGCTACACATGTGTATCTAGCTTTCTTGATAGGGTCTCTGAGGCACTTTTGGAAAGAGATTTACTTTCCCAGGAAGCCCAAGAAGATCTAGACATGAGAGCTTGGAGATTGGGTGCCCAGTCCTGGGATGTGTGTGCGTGTGCATGTGTACGCGTGTGACAGAAAACTGCTGGAATCAATAGAATTATGGAACTGCTCTGCAGGGAAGGGGAGTCAGGGAACTAGAGGGCTGTGGGGAGTAGTCAATTCAATTTGGTTCAATTCATCAATAGTAAGCACCATAATAACCTGACCCTGTTCCAGAACTTTGGGGTACATCAGTGAATGAAACAGATAAAGATCCTGCCTCCAGGAAGCTCACTTTCTAATGTAAAAGAAAATTAACTATAAACATGTCAATTTAATAATAAACGATATGGTCTGTTATAATGAATGATCGCTATGAGGGAGCCGGAAGGTCAGGATTCCCGTGTGAGGCTGTGGGCTGCAATTGTAGAGAGGTTCAGGAGGCTTCATTGAGAAAGTGATCTGAGCAATGACTTCCAAGAGGTGAGGGAATCATCCATGTGGATGTCTTGCGAAGGAGGATTCCAGGCAGAAGGCACAGCCAGTGCAAAGTCCCTGAGGCAGCAGTGTGCTTGAGAGGAGAGGTTAGGGAGGAGGGAAGGCAGAACAGAGACTTGTTCGTCATTGGCTTTTTCTCTGAAGAAAAAGGGGTTAAAACATATTTTTTCCTAGCTTTCTGGCTTTTCTTCCCAGTGTCTGGTCTGTGTGTGTGTGTGTGTGAAGGCCTGGCAAAGGCAGGCACCGGGGTGCAGGCAAAGGCACGGGCAGTTCATAACAGCCCTTCCAATCTCCCTCCTATTACCCTACTTCCCAGACTGGGGTGTGGCTCATTCCACCCCCTCAGCTGTTTCTGTGACACACCCCCCCAGCCCTGGAACTCAGCTCCTCAATCATACAGCAAATTAGAGGTGAGAGAGACCCCCCCAC